CCCCGCCCGCCGCGGGCGCGCATCCTCCGCCGCCACCGCGCGCCAGGCGCAGACACGCGGCGCGTGTGCACGGACGCAGACCCCGCGCCGCGACACGGCCGCACCTCCGCGGCGCGGGCACAAGGGGGCACACGCAGGCGCGGCTCCTCGCGCGCGCGGCGCTCAGCGCTGGCACACACTTGTTGCGGAAACAGCTCTGCGCGCAGGGCACAGACCTACAGCTGGCACAGACACAGCAGGGAGGTGCAGACACACAGACTCACCGCGCAGACACAGACCCAGGCGACCCAAACGGGCCTCACACACTATAAACAAACAACACCCTGCACTGGCAGCGCGGTTAACACAGACACACAACACAAGCATAACACAGAAACAGATACACACAACACAGACACAAGTTCACACCACGACACAAACACACACTACAGAGATGATTACAGGGTATACACACAGATACAAGGAGAGTGACAGTGTACACAGCATAGACACACAACAGAACATGCCCATAAGGCAGACAAACAGCAGGCATTGGGGCCACAACACAGTAACAAAGAACACCAACAATATATTGCAGGCAGACACAATGTCCAGAGATGATGGGAACTACCTATCACATACACAAACACAACATATAAATAAATGGCGCACAGTGAAAGGCAACAGCCGTAAGAATAACAGATAAGAGCACACTGGTCATGGCTCCAGTCATATAAGAACCCTTGCTTGCCCTGGGGCAGACATGTACCTATTCAGGCTCACTCTTTGGGAGGCAGTGGAGAACACTTGCCAACAACACCCCACTCCTTATCCATCAGCCCTCCACTCACCTGCCACCATCGCACTCTGCAGACACCCCCACCAGGCTGGGGGAGTGTGTACATCATGGGTGTGACCAGTGGACATCACTTCCCCACCCCTTCAGCCTTTACTTACTGTCAAGCTACCCACCCTTGGCCCTCTGCCTCCCGAACTTGGGGTATGATCTCTCCAGCTGGCTGGGTCTGTGCCTTGAGGATACACAGCACAGAGATTATGGAAGCGCTTATCTCTGGCTCTCATAGGCCTGCTCCACTGATTCCTGGCTATGGAACTTGAGCATATCACTTCAACTCTTCAGCGTCAGTTTCCTCATCTAAATCTAGTTGTTGAGAAGGTTAATGTATACAATGCCTCTGGCACCCAGTGGGTATGCAGTAAGTGATTGTTGTACTTTGTCAAGAAATTGCATATTCATTGAGTGCTCCCCAGAGTAGGACTAGAACTGGGAGCTGTGGGGCCCACAGTCTCATGGGGGAGTCAGGTGTTGGCACAAGCAGTGACAACACATGTAAATGTGACGGGAGTGGCACAGTGAACTGGACTTGGAATCGGAGGAGTCCTGGCTTCAAGGCCAGCTCTGCCTCAGAGCCAGTGTGGGATTTTGAGTGAGCTAGTCCCCGTTAAGGCCACATTTCCTCATTTGTTCAAAGTGGGTAATAATACTACCCCATCTCACAGGGCCGTTGCATAGATGAGGTTAAAATCAGATTATGAATGAAGGTTAAAATAGCATGAGGGAGCAGGTGCTTTGCAGAGGAAACAGTGGTATGTGAAATGAGGCATTGTTAAAACACTACAAAACAGGAAATTATAAATTAGAAAGGTATGTCACCAGTGACTGTTCAGAGGCAGCTCTAACTTTGAATTGAGAAGAGGGGATAAATATCATGGAAGAGCTGGCATTTACGTAGAATGTGGAACCAAGGAGGTAAGCCTTCCAGGTGAAAGGGAGGGTACTTGCAGGAGGCCTGGGACGGAGTTGTGGGTATTGGGCTGGAGTTCAGGTGTGTGGAGGGAAGCAGTGGAAGGCCGAGATTGGAAGAGAAGGTGGAGCTGAGTGTAATGGGCTGAAGTTGATTTTCAGCCCACGGGCAAACCTGGGCCACTGAACAAAGTGACAAGTGGTGCATGTTCTGGAAGAGCCATTGGAAGTCTAGAGCGGAGAAGTGCCGCGACCTGAATTTGCTTTGGGACCTGGCAGAAGTAGGTCGAAAGTGTGTACAAATAAGAGAATGGCAAACAGTCCAATTTTTAAAAAATGGGTTAAAGATATCAACAGGCAATTCACAAAAGAGGAAACCTAAATGGCCAAAAATATGAAAAGAGGTTCAACCTCACTGGTCATGTGAGAGATGCAAATGAAAAGTGCTGTGATACACCATTTCACACCCAACAGACTGGCAAAGAGGAAAAAGTCTGTGAATATGGGGAAGGGGGTGGTGAGGGTGGCGAGGATGTGGCACCATTAGAACACTCTTAACACCATTGACAGAGGTGTAAATGGTTACCGCTGCTTTGGAGTAGTTTGGCAACATTTAATCAAGTCGAAGATGCTCATAGCTACAAATTAAGTGACTCCACTTCACTCATTCCATGTATAATTGTGAGAAATTAGACATTAATTGTTCACTGACAGCCATCCAGACAGATACATTGTGATCTAGTCATACCATGGACCAATACACTGGGAGAAAGAAGAAATGAAGGCTATATGCTTCAACATAGGTATTGTCTAGGAAAAAACAACATCGAGTTGAAGAATAGGTACAGTGTGATACAAAAAGTTGTTTTCAACATTCAAAACTATGCTACATGTAGTTTAGGGATACAGTCAGATCAGAAAAGCGTTAAAACATGTATGGAAAATCAAAGATAGCACATTTAGAAGAGTGGTTACCTCTGGGAAGGAAGGGATGGGAATGAGATCAGAATAGGGTACACGGGGATTTAATTATATCTATGATGCTTTATTTCTTAGAAAAAAAATATCTGAAGTAAATACGGCAAAGTGTCAAGATTTGACAAAGCTAGGTCCATCGTTGTTCTCTCTGACCTGTCCCCTTCTTAAATCTAAAGTTTGTTTCTTTATTTTCCGAGTGTTTGAAATATTTGGTAATTTTAAAGATGGGAGAGGCAGGGATACTATGTCGGGATGATAGCAGAGGAGGCTTGGTCACATGTGCAGGGCCGTAAGAGCTCGGTGTCCCCACCTGTCTGTTCTGTGACTTGCCACAGCTTGGTCCCTTTACAGGGGAGAGGAGAGAGGCTTTGAGAGGTGGAGGCATGTCCCCCAGGTCACACACAGCAGGGAGTTAGGATGCATCCCCTTCCCCTCAGCTGTGTCACTGCCCTTGCCCAGCAGAGGGGACAACCACAAGCCAAAGAACCAGGAGAGAAGGCCTGCAGCCTTGCTGTAATCCATCCATCCTCTTCCATCTGCTGCGCTATTCTTTCTTTCCATTAAGGACAACTTGGAAAGTGTAGAAAAGCACAGGGAGGAAAATAAAAATCACTTGCGGTTTTCACTGTCTCACGTTTAAAGTCAGCTTTATGAAGGCATATATATAATTTGCATACACAATCAATCCACCTATTTTAAATGCGCAGCACTATCTCGAGAGAACGTGACTTTGTTTCTTTGTCGAGTACTAGACAAGTTAGCATGTATGAACGTGCCCTACAAAGAAGAAAATGCTTCTCACCAATATAATTATTATGGTAATACAGTTTCTGGGAATGATTATGGTAAAGGTGCTTTCGCCCTTAAGAGCAGGTGACCACCTAGGTGGGCCTGTGTTTCGTTGCCTAAATGTGGGGGTCAGTTAATAATGTCCTCAACATGGAGGTGCTGAGAGTTTTCACATTTTAGTAGAAAGCGTGATTGTTAACGCCGTTTAAACATTAGAAAAAAGAAAAACACAAAACAGATGACAGGGTCAGACTGTGACCTACAGAAGTGCTTGTGGCCTTGGTTAGCTGCCAAGCCATAAACACTTTTACCTGTGGCTTTTGTGAGGAAACAGAGAAGTCAGCGTCTCTGCCTTCTCTGTGAAGCCCAGGAGGGTCGAAAAGAGAGCCTTCGCCGAGAGGCAGGAGATGCTATTGAAACCTCAGACTTGCTATGGAACCATGGCTGGCTCTTTTCTCTGAATTGTAGTCTCCCTGTCTGTTAAAAATGAAGTGGCAGCTTTGTTTCCACTTTCAGCCTTCAGCCGCTGTTTAAGGAAACGTGCTGGGGGCAGGCACCATGCTAGGAATGGGGGGTGGGGGCCGAGGGAGAGGTGCCATCAAGATGAATAAGACACAACCTCTGGCATTCAAAATCTTCCAGTCCAGGCCTGGCAGGTGGGGTGAGGAGACAGACACATCAACAGGTAAATCAGCAGGTCAGGTGGTCAGTCAGCAGGTGCTCCATAATTTGAACAAGGTCTCTCTGCCTCCCTGCCCAGAGGT